AACTCGTATCAATGTTGCAGCAGTTCCTGGGAACCAGCTTTGGCAAACTAGGTGACATGCACTCAAATGACAATTAATACACAAAATGGCTACAGAAATATCAAATGTAGATTTTCCTTCCCCAGAATGTTTTAGCAGAGTCAGCTTCATACTATCTTGCTAAACTGGTAAACTTTTAAAGTCTAGCAAGACTTCTAAAAGCAAACCTCTGCAACCATCTGCAAGCAGACATCACCATATGGTTTAGGATTCTTGAAAAGACTCATCCCCACCGACTTCTCTTAAAATATCCTGCGAACTCCGAGGGGAAATGGCTTATTTAAACTATCAAGTATACACAATAAAGAGGACTGAAAAGAACCACCCTGACAGCAGGGTGGTATTTGTTTTGTATTTATTAATCTAACATTTTAGGAAGCACTTTCCCAAGCAGGTAACTGCCTGCACTACAAAACTAGATGAAAAAAATGCATTTAGAGAGTATTCTTTACGTGAGCAGTCTTGCAATAAATTTTTCATGCCATTATTGCACTGAATTCCAAAAAAAAAGTGAAAACCAGAGAAGAGACTTCCATTCAAAGTGCACTTGGTGGGTCACAATTTCAAATATAGACCCACTACTGCTTGCAAGTCAGTATTTTAAATTTAAGTTAGGGCTCGAAATTCAGTGCCGTATCAGATTATACCTTTCATTGTGCCTTTCTATTTGAGCTGCTATAGGGTAGCTTCATCTGCAAAAAAAAAGTCCTCCATAAAAACAGTATATTAGCAAATGATACCTTCAAATTATTTTTACTTTGGCCCATACACACAGTTGTCTGTGAAGAGCTCATGGAGCTCTGGAGGATGAAGAAACGCTTCTGCTAGCTTGTCTAGAAAACTAGAAATATTTTCCAGGCCACTATTCATCTCCCCTCGCCACCTTTACACTGGAGCTCTATTGCAATATTTATTCCACTCATACTGCTCTCACATCACGCTGCTTAGTGTTGCACAGCTGCAAAAACCACCTGCTACTCCAATGTAGCTATTGTTTTTTTGCCACCTCCCCCCTACCTCATGGTTCCTTCTGAAAAGGGTTGGCTTAGTCTCCTCTCGAGGCCATCCTCCCCTCTGCCTTTCTGCAGCACTGCAAATGGGCATCCCAGGTGGCTCCCACTAATTATCCATGCGCCTTGGGAGTCTAATTCTTCCTATTGTTAATGCACCAATCTTGAGCCACAAAGTCACTTCATATGGTAATCAGAGACCAGCTGATCCCTGGCTAATACTTCACATACTCAGGAGAACTGATCTTCTGGGGCTATGAGCGAGAACTGAGCAAGACAAGCTTTGGAAAACAGTGCCCAAAACCTACTGCATCTCTTTCATTTCTAACTCCAAACCATAATAAAAACTTTGCTTGTGAAGCTGAGCTTGGCAGTTACCTCCACTGGCTGTGGTCTGCCTCTTCCATGCAATAACAGCCTGAAAATGTGCATCTTTTTATGCCATTAAAACATAATCTAGTAACTTTTTTACACTGAATCTTACCGTGCTATAGAAGTTCTGGTCTTCACAGTACGCCTGAAATACTAGCTTCAATCCAAAACCAAGATAAGCATTTCTATGAAAACTAGTGCAGGCCACAATTCAACAGTATTGCTGCTGAAGACAAAATAATGACGACTTAAATTCCTGATCTTCCCTCACCCTCAGCATTCCCCATGGTCTATCATCACTGCAGTTTAGTTTCTTTTTGAAGTGTGATTAGTTGCCTTATCTAGTTTACCTGCAAACACCTACGCCAGCACAAAAGGGCAGCACGCTATAGCACCAGGGCACAGCAAGGTCTGAGAATGCCTTGAGCTGGGATCATACATCTATAGTCTGAGTGGACTGGGAAATCTTCTTGAACGTCTTCAAGTTTAGGAAGTTCAACAGCATTTCAAGTCAGCAAACTCCTCAGATTGTGATATACTCACTTAAAATCTGAACTGCGTGAGGATTTTTGTATCATGGCTTCTATGATGTAGAGAGCTCAATGGTTCCTCTTGGTTAATAGTAGGTTCTCAAAAAGTCATTCTGAAGACACTTACTTGCAGCACTGGGAATAGTCTTTTGTTAGATCCCAAATGGCAGGAACCAATATGATTTCTGTAGCCTGCAGCAGTGCCTGATGCGAGTGTTCATTTGAAGAACAATTTGCTGAATGGTGATTCAAGCAACCGTTACGTGTGTATCTTCTTGATAAGTAGAAAATAGCTATCGTATGGAAACATATCATTTCAAAGGAGAACGAAGCAAAAATGTTTTACCTCTTCCTCCTCAAGGATGTGGATAAGTGGTTCTTTCTTTAAAGAGTTTCAAACTATCACATAAATGGAAGTATCATTTTGTTTTGCTAACTAAAATGATAGGGTTTTTAAAAAATATTCCTTTAATGAACTACTACCTGTTCAATCCTCCATTATAATACATATACTTCACAATATCATTCTTCAGATTTAATTTATTGTGCTAATGAAAGACAGAGGATACTGCAGCTGTACGAAAGCAGTACCAAACAGTTCAGAGAAAGTAGCGCACATGGACAGCTGTTTGAGAAGCCTTCCTACAAATCTGCAGGGTTTTGCCATAGAGAAAGAGAACCACCTAAATGAATGTCATGTAAATGCTGTACATGTAATGGGCAACTGCAACAAAGCATATTTTATCATTCACATATGTCCTAGATATGAATATATTATTAGGGCAAAAATTAGAAACAAACCCTCCACAGACAAGTTACATACATCCTTCTCTAAGCCATGACTCACCTGGGTTTCAGAGTAATTTTCCCCCTACTATAGCCTTCACTTTGTCTAATGCTCAGGTATCAGCACTATAACCATTTCAAAAGGTCTTCACAGAGCAGTTAAAATCATCCTGTTTCCCCACTAGATACTATGTTTTCTCCAGAGGTAAGTCAGAAAAAGAAACCAACTATTTCCCCTTTCTCCCTCCTCCTAAAATGGCTTTGTAGACAGTATTTTATAGGTAAAAGGCAGCTGGCTATGCTTTAACAGACTCTGTATGTAAAAAGAATAGATGAACACATGTGCAGTGCCTATTGGTGGTTATTTGCATAGTCTTCATTTTCAGAAACAATAAAATCATTTATCATGCCTACTCTCCAAACCATTTACCTACCTCAAAAGGTAAACTGGATTCACTAATATCTGTTATGGAATTAGTTAAAGCTTGATGTCAAAAGAACTGTGTATTAGGAAAAGAGAAACATGGGCATGTCCAGATAACTGCTGCATTTCAGTCTGCATATAGGCTCTTCACTGATCTGAAACCCCAAACAGATGAGTCAGTGTAAAGAAAGTGAAGGAAAAGACTCTGAAGCAGGTATATATTTAGCAGCAGGTTAGAGGGAAAGAAAAGGCTCAAGGACAACGACAGGTCTTTTTTCTCCTTCAGTTCCTTCAGGTAAACCCCCAATGCATTTTTGTGAAAGAAAGCCAGTCTTTTGCTTTTAACTGTAGCCCAAAACTGCATTATGTCTCCTGGGTGCTTTGATTTTTTTCTTCTTTCTAAATCTCAGCATATAGAGAGCTCCAGGGCTCCGTAGGAGATATTATTAAAAGCATGCCTGCAGAAGCAGAGATCACTCACTGCCCTTATCCCCTGCATTCACGAGCGGAGCTCCCCCCACCCGGGCAGCATTGTATGAGATTTCACACAAACAGTAATGTCCTTTTTAAAGAGGCTGAAAAATTTAAAGTCCTTTAAGAGCAGGCATAGCGTTCCTTCAAATTGGAGTGGGAAACAAAGCACAAATGTGTTTCATTTCTTCAGAAAGCTCACATCCACCTTCAAAATTCTATCAAATCAACTTTTTTGTCCTGTATCTAGGTAGTATTACAAGATATATCAGAGGTTTATAAAATGCATAAAATCCCAGTGTGAACAAGATATAAGCAATCTCTACAGTTATTTTTTCCCAGGCTACTTGAAGTTTCTAAAGTCCAGATGTTTTTCCAACTCTTTGCTCTTCCACCATCACAAATATATCATCTTTTCTTAATGTTGCTTTCGTGTCTGTGTTTTCAGCAGTCCGTTTTTCTTTTCTTTTTTCCCTTCAAATATTATACACACATACCTTTGGGGTTACTTTACTGTATTAGAAACATGAGATTAGAAAGTTATGTTGAAAAGTTATGTGTTTATGCTGTAAATAACTTTGTAAGAGGGTTCTGTCTTCTAATGCCTATAGACACATTTCCAAGGTCGTACCTTCCCCATTAGAGTGCTATCATGCATTTAACAGCAAAATGCCCACTAACCTTCAACAGAAGGGGTCAGGAAGTTTATTTTAACCCTCTACTTTCCAGCCTAAAGATTGCAGAAAGAAATTGAAGATATTGTTTGTTTTTACCACCCTTACCCAGATGCTCCTCAGCCATATCTAGATACACACGTGTTTAGAGTTCAGACCACTGAACTCTACGCACTGACCATTTGAAAACTGCCATCTGAGGCTCACTGGAGAACAAACTGTATCATTTCTGATTCAATAGGAACCTGAAGAGAACCTGTTTAGTTTGTAACATGAAACAGAAATACATCGTTGTCCTTATTTTGTCTGCTAAAAATCCAATTAACCGATACAATGCTACAATTCATCACGCATCTGAAGTAGAGGATTTCCCTTCATAGGCCTGCAAGTGATGTCCAGTTAAGACTGCACTAGTACCATTGAATTCTGCTGGTTTTTAAATGCAGACTGCTAAAGTTTCCTGTTTTGCAGTGGCTACACAGATGAACCATCCTCAGTACCTGCAGTGACACGGAAAACACCCTTCTACAGTGAGAGGCAAATGAAAGGTAGTATAAAATAAACATTAGGATAACAAAATAAATCCACTACAATGGCCTCAGGGCAAAAGTATATACAGGAAAAAAAAAAAAAAAGGAATTTTGAAAACATAAGTGACTATGGATGAGTTTGGGAAAGAATTTGTGGAACTTACCTATGGTGCAGTTTGTGGTTATTTTTCTTCGCTTGGGGTTGTGTCGTAGCAATTCTAACTCTCGTTTGGTTGGCTCCCATGTTGAATACTTCTCTCCAATGCCTAGGCAGACGAAAAGAAAATTTCAGAAAGTTGTTTAGTAAAAGGATATAAAAGGCTGTTCAAATAAAAATGTGCAATATGCTGTCCATTAAGTTAGATCCAGTCTATATGCAACTATAAGAGACTGATTTAGAAAGACAGCAATGGCCTTCCAACAAACAAGAATTAACAGCAGGAAGGAGAGAAAAAAAAAGTTACTCATACAGAATACATTTCCATTCCTAAGTAACAGGTTTCTGCTGTGAAATTATAACCTCTGCTTCAATTAAAAAGGAATTCCAGCACAATTGTCAATTTGCTATTATTCAGAAACTCATTTTTTTGGTGCTTTTCAGGAGGTCCAATAACAGCACCACTGTATGATTTTAGGAGAAGATAGAGGACAACCAAGTAGTATTTTGTCATTGGAATTTGACGAGTTATTAAACAGATCCAACTTAATGGACAGACACAGTTTTAGTCTTTACAGATGCAAAGCAGAAATTAGTAATTCGGAGATACTAAACAGCATATGGTCTAATTACATGTTTTTGGACACATTATCACAGAATATGACCTCTCCTTAGAACCACTGCCGCAGCAGCAGATATTAGCAAGTTATAGTATTTGATATGTATTTCAGTAGGTATTGGTGTACCTATTATTACCAGGAAACATAGGTAGAAGTAAAAAACACACAAAAAAAAACCCAGCAGAAACCCACACGCAGCATAAACATCCCCTTAATACTTAAATACCTTGGGAAAAATCTTTTTTTTTTTTTTCCTGTCTGCAGCTGAAATCTGCCATTATCCTTTTAAAACATCAATACTGTATTTCGAGCACATTTATTTTGTTCAGAAGAGAGGGGGGCAGAAATGAGTCAGGTAATCAGTAAGGGGAAGAGGGCAGAAGCAGGCACGGAGCTGTGTTCTGCGCAAGCCTCACTCGAGACGAGCGCAGCAGCGAAGCCCCCGTGCTGCCCAGCTCAGCACTGCTGCAGCAGCCTATGCAGCAAAGAGAAACTGCTATGCAAGGTCAATTCCAGTGAGCCACGAAAGCATCTTGGCATAAAAAATAAAGAATAATAAGGTGACAAGCAATCTATTCTAAAACTGAAGATTAAAGTCAATTAAGAGTCATATTTTTCATAGAATGCATGCAGCTGAATCAGTGCTGTGCTACAGAAAATAAATTATAAATCACACATATGAAAAGCAGAGTAGAAATCTAGCTAGAGGCTTATACATTCTGCATAATAGACATTAAATTTTAATAGCCCTTTGATCTTCATTTTCAGAAATAGCTATGCTTGTCGGAAGTTACCCACCCAAAAGTGTTCAATTCATAGTTACTGCTGACCCTCCAGGTTCTAGCAATGAAACATTTCATTTTTTGATTCACGAGAATGAGAAAATTCATGTTTGCGTGTGTGCACCATTTTTTTTTTACTTCATTTGATTCAACAACACATTAGGCAATGCATAAGGAAGACCACCAAAACTCAAACAGTCCCTTTCCTTTATCCAAGGTTCAGCATTAAGCAACACACCCAGGGAAAGA